CTGCCTCCCTCGCCACCGTGGAGTCCAGCAGCGCGGCGTCTGCCTCTGTGAAGAGCAGCGGGCAGTGCCATGACACACAGCTGGTACCACGCGGGTTCCACGTGCCAGCCTTGGCTAGCCATTCCTTCCCTAGGGACCCACTTCACACGCCGGGCCACTGACGAAGCCTTAACCCCAGGACCAGCCACACACTGACGCTCACGCTTTGAACAGGGAGGGGCTGGAAGCCTCCAGCCGTGCAGCAGCCACGGGCCAGGGCAGCGTCCCAGTCGGGCATCACCAAGGTCTAGAGAGAAGAGAGGGACGCTGCCCTGTGGGCAGGAAGAAGCAGGGTGGTTTTACGTCCTTGTTCGTGAACTTTGCCAGGGCGTCCCAGAGGCTGCACAGAGTCTGGCAGGGCCTGCTTGACCTCTTCCTCTTGCACGTCCTGGGCATGGCTCCAGGTCACCCCTGGACAGCCCACTAGAGACATCTCAAAGTCCTGGGACTGGAGGGTGGACCATAGGGTGCAGCGATCAGGTAAGTGGTCAGGAGCTCAGGCCCAGTGTTGGCAGGATGTGGGAGGCAGAGGTGGGTTCCCCAGGTGCTGGTGCTCAGGGGGGTCGGCCGACTTGGGCCACAGCCTGCCAGGGCCACCATGAGGCAGCAGGGCTCAGGGCCAAGATGAGCAGGCCAGGCAGGAAGAGGCCTGCAGGGCCAGCCTGGGGGCAATGCTGGTCAGAGGGGCCAAAGGTCCTCCTCTAGGCTGTGGGCACCAGCCCAGCAGGCCAGATGTTTTTCTTTACTGCAGGGCTGGCCAGCAGTGGGGTGGGCACTGGCCCAGCAGGCCAGATGGTTTTCTTTGCTGCAGGGCTGGTCAGAGGTAGGGTGGGCGGGCAGCTGGCCCCTCTCTACTCCTGGGCTCCAGCACACTGCCTTTTGCTGGAAAATCAATTCTGCAGTACTCTCTGGGCTCTGGCAGAGGGCAGCTGGGGCACTTCCTGCCCTCCTTGGGGCCTGTTCAGTTGAGGGCCAGCCAGGGTGGGCTCAGAAGCCACGGGGACAAGAGCTGACTCCCTGTCCCATCCTGGGCAACTGTCTGCCTCTTCCCAGCCTCCTGCCCAGGAGTGGCCCCCAGGGCTCCCCTTCCTCCCGCTGCCCAGGCGGAGAGCTAAGGTGGCCACAGGAAAGGAAGCGACTGTGGAGTACACAGGGCCTGCTGCAAACCCTGTCCAGGCCCCGCTCCTGCTCTCGGGGCTCCAGCTGGCTCTTGCCAACACGGGACCCAAGCGGCTGGACATCAGCTCTCAGTGTTGCCTCTGGGGCAGCAGCCACCATGGGCCCAGCAGGGATGGTTCCATCTTGTTTCACGGTCTATCCTTTGGCTCCTGGTTCACATGCCGCTCCCTGCCTCCCACACTGTTCGCGCTGCACTGAGCACCCACCCAGCCTGGAGTGCTCAGCACCCCGTAGCACCAAGGAGGCTCTGGGAGGGGCAGAGTCTATGGCCGCCTCACCCCAGGCCATTCACCCTGCCTGGCAGGCCCTGCCCCTGGGGCTGTCCCCAGCACGGGAGGGTCTGTGGGATCCACAGCCACAACCCCACAGGCACCAGGGCAATGCAGGCTGAGGGTACCCCACCACCCGGTTAGTCACATGTGACCTGCGCTAGTGGCTCCCAAACACCCCAAAACCAGAGGGTAAAACCCCAGTGACTTGAACCCTTGGCCACGGCTCCGGTTGGCACACACATGCACACTCAGCCTGGCACCCTGGGCTCTCTGTCCTCTGTGTCAGAACCAGCCTGTGGGTCCTGTGTCTTTAGTACTGCCTTAGGCTCTGGCCTCAGATGCACAGAACTCTGGTATTCCATGTGAATCTGGGGATAAAAATTTCACTAAAAATAAACAGCGGGCACTGGGTTTGCAGCGGGCTTATTTATTAACTGGGAGAGTGTGTGCCTGCTGCAAACAGGTGGTCAGCACCTCCTCACTAACCCCTGCTGGGCCAGTACCAGGCTGCCACCAGCTAGGGTGCTGGCTGTAGGGTCATCATTAGGTCAGCCCTGCAGTTCAGAAGTGGGAAGGGATGTCGGGGAGCAGAGCAGGCCTCCCTGGCACCCTGCACTTGTGGGGCCCAGCAGTCTTGGCTTCCACTGGCACTTCTTCCTGTGGATTGGTGCAGAAAGTCTGAGGGGCCAGCAGTCAGCCTGAGGGGTGGACATACATCCTGACTGCAGACCTTCAGGTCTGTTCCAGACATGGGCTGGCCCCGGGAGCTTTCTACACAGCTCATCACCCACTCTCATTGCACGCCCTTGTGGCTCTGGCCAGACCCCCACACGACCTTAGACCCTGTCACCGGCTGCCATTTCAACTTGACCAGGCCGAGGCGAGCAGGGTCGAGCCTCTGAGCTGCACCTTGTGCCGAGGTTCTGCTGCGGGCTCCTTCCTGGGTGAGGGACTGTGGACGGAAGGTTCATTTCATGGCTCAGGAAATCTCCCCGGGGCAGCGCCTGCTCCTCTCCACCCCTCGGAAGTCCCTTCCAGTCAGGTCTCTTGAGACAGTCCGGGCAGCATCCCTCCTCCAAGGGCAAAGCAGCCTTCCCGCCTGTCCTGGAGGGGAAGGGGTGACCCAAGCCTGTGTCTACTGCACATACCTGGAGGCCTCTGGGGACAGAGGAGCAGAGGCAAGGACGCAGCTCCAAGCAGAGGGTCCTCCTGGCCTCAGGAGATGGCACAAAAGTGACAACAACTCGTTAAGATGGCCCGGGAGACCTGTGGCCGGAGGCACGTGTGTGCCGTGACCAGCCTGTGACTCACTCAGCGACCCGCACTTGCTGTCCCGCAGCCTCTGACCGTTTCCCTCAGGCCTTCAGCCAGGCTCTCAGAACCTCCTCACACGGTGCAGCAGATTCTGTCATCATAACTAATTAGAACGCACCAGTAAAACATGGAGACAAGAAAGACCAAAGAAGTCTCCAAGCAGGGTGCAGCGGTGCAGGCCGTGGTCCCAGCCGTTCAGGAGGCTGAGGCGGGGGGACAGCAAGTCCCAGGCCACCTGGGCAGCTTGGTGATGAGGCTGTCTCGCCAAGCCATCTGGACGACTGCCAGAAGGCAATGAAGGTCCTCATTTCCCTAATACTGGAATTTTCTTAAGTTTTTCATCCATCTGGACTAAGTTTTATCAGTTTTATTGATTTTTAAAAGAACCAGCTTTGACCTCTGGACCCTGCCCAGCTGTCTGACTTTCCAGTCCTGAGCTTGCTGCCATCTGTGGGCACCTGTGTTAGCCTGCTGCTGTTTGCTGAGGGGTGGACACACACCCTGACTATAAGACTAGGTGTTCTAGCCGGGTGCTGGTGCAGGCCTGTGGTCCCAGCGGCTCAGGAGGCTGAGACAGAAGAATGGCAAGTTCAACGCCAGCCTCAGGAACTTAGTGAGACTCTGTCCTGTAATTGATGATAATGATAATAATAGGAATTCTTCTAAGTTCAGGGCCTCTTACCCATGAGGCTGTCCCAGGGCCCAGTATGATTTCCCCAGGGCCCCAGGGCTTTGTGGGGAGAATCCACACCCTTTGGCCCTCCTGCTCCGTTGCCTGTGCGTCTCCCACACCTGCCAAAGGCACGCAGGTCTCAGGCTGCAGTGGCAGGGCCCGAACCCAGCCCTGTGCCACTCCAGGATGTGGACCCAGCCCAGGAGGTTCACACGGAGCCACTGGTACAGGTTGCAAGCCCAGAGGGCCACAGTGGAGAATCACATCAGGGCGGGGAGGGGGAGTGCAGCCATGGGGAGGAGACCTCAGAGGCCACTGCAGGCTACTGGAGGACAGGCTGTGGGCAAGGTGAGCGACACGCCTGCCACACTCTCAGGTGTCCCACCAGAGCGTCACACAGGGTGAGCCTAGGCCGTGCCACTCCACAGGGCCACACAGGAGCTCAACAGTCCACAGCAGTGGGAAAGGGGGACCTAGGACATGCTGGGCACCCAGATGATACGTCTGGCACTATGGGGGAGGCCCAGGGAGCACAGGCCTTTGTTCTGCTGGCCTGGGCAGCCTCAGGACCACAGTCACAGGAGGGAGGAGCACAGCCACAGCTGTGGTCAGCACAAGAGGGGTGGAGGCCCAGCTGGAGGCCCGTGGGCAAGCTCACAGGCGTCAGGAGGCTGCTCAACCAGTGGCCCAGCTGAGGCAGGGTGGCTTCCCCACAGGCAGAGTGGGCCTGGCACGCGGGGGGCCACAGCCCCTCTCCTGCTGCCCCTGCTCAGGGCCTCCCTGCAGCTGCCTGCTCCCACAAAGCCAAGTCAGGCCCTGGGACATAAATGTCAGGACTGAGGCCCACAGGTGTCCCTACGAGATGAAGCCACTAAACAGATGCCAGGCGTGCCGGCTCTTTCTGGGACTTTTATTTCTTTAAAATAATTCATACAAATGGTTACAGTCACAAACATGATTTTAACCAAAATATTGCTAGCCTACCACATCAGCAGGACGGCACGGGCGCAGGCGGGACTTGGCGACCACCGCCCCCAGGACAGTCAGCATAGGGAGCTCCAGGCGCCCCCTCCTCTGAGCTGCTTGAGATGCCGTCTCCATTTGGAACAAGGGGGTTCATGCCAAAATCAGGAAAACAGCCTTTGTTGTTTTTCTAAATTATTCTAAAAATAAGACAAGCAGGTAGAAAAAACAGTGCACTGTGCGGCATGAAGGAAGCGGGAAGGACCCAAGTCCTGAGAAGGGGCCGCGGCGGGCGTCCAGCAGAGGGAGCTCAGACCACGGCCGCAGGTCCCGCGGCTGGCTTTTGTTGACAGCTAAGCAAACGAATCCCCCGTCATGTCCTAAAGACTGCACACAGACAAGAACATCCATGAGAGAATTGACTACTAACTTCTTTTGCTCAACGAGGAACGCAAAGGACACAGGACAGTGAGCCAGCCCACAGGACGGGACAACTACAGTCGACACAGAGGCTGCGCTGCCTCGCGCCCTGCACACGCCTGGGCCAGTCTCTGGGGCGCCTCTCTGCACACTCCGGGCTGGGGTACACGGTGCCCTCCCCAGGCGCCGAGGCTGGAGAGCTCCCCGCGGGCTACAACTGATCACTCGTGTGGTCTCTATCCGCCTCAGGCTTGACAGTTTGGCCAGGAGAAGGGGCATGGGGTGGGTGGGCCACAGGGGGCAGGCCGTGGGACAGGGACRTGGCGCTGGGTASGATGCCTTCCACTGCAGCCGGGATGCCAGTGGGGGCCACGCCCACCACGCCTGGGGGGTACCTGCTGGGAGAGGAGGGTGGGCAAGTGAGGTCGCTGTGGGAGGGGCCCCCCACAGCAGCACTGACACCAAGGGTCCAGGGCGGGGCAGACCCCGTAGAGCGCCCTCAGTGCCGGAACACGTCCTGCCGGGCCTCTCCAGGTCCTCTCCTGTCCCCAGGACCACTCCGCTCCACTGGTGGCCTCTGCAGGGTGCTGTCCAGCAGGCCCTAGAAGCTCCTCCCATGTGGCTCCTTCCAAGAGGCCCAGTTCTCACAGGATTTCAGGCAAGTGGACAGCGCCACACTCTGTGACCACAGGGCCTGGCTAGGGCCATGTCCTCAGCCTGAGGTCCCCGCGGGGCCCAGAGTCCAGGCTGAAGCCCTGCCTGCTCACCTGTAGGCAGCCCCGTTGAGCTCAGGGTGCACCACGGCAGGGTCCATGCTGGCCCAGTGCGTGGCAGCCGTCAGGTGGTCCTTGTTGACGCAGTTTTTCAGGCTATCAGGGATCCGGCCTGGGGATACAGCAGGAGGACAACAGTGCCCAGGTTAAAAATGCTGTCCCCTGCAGGAGACCAGCACCACCTGGGCACAAGGGTGTGGGTGCCTCCAGGCCCCTGGCTGCAGCAGCCCTGGGATCCTTCCTCCCTCAGCCCTGAGCTTGTGCTGCTGGGCACCATGGGCTCAGCCCTGTCTATGCCCACAGGAATGCCTGGTAGGGGAACAGAGCACCCTCGCAGAGCAGGCTGCAGCAGACTGTGAGAGCGTGCTCCCCACCTGTGATGGCTCGCCGGATCTCCTGGGCTGCCTCCTCCCGCATCTCGATGGACGCCTGCTCGCTGTACCACGCAGCATGGGGGGTGCAGATGAGGTTGGGCGCATCCTTCAAGGGCCCCTGGCTGAAACTAAGGATGGCGCATCACAGGTCAGTGGGCTGAGCACTAGAGGGCAGGGGCAGGAGGTGGCCAGGCCTGGGTCAGGGTGCTGTGTCACACCTCGGGCACCTGCGCACAAGGGCAGGCCCCCACCCCAGAGCTCCTGACATCCCCCAGTCCTCGGACACGGCATCCCCTCTGGGAAGCTGGGAAGCAGATGTGTCCCTGAGGCCCTGCCCACATGGCACAGCCCAGGCCCAGGAAAATCAGCTCAGAGAGGTGAGGCTGGACACGAAGCCAAGTACAGTTCCCCTGACCCCTGGCTACCACAGGCCACAGCCTATGGAGACCACTGACGGCCTGAGGGCCTTGTGCTCTCCAGGCCTGGGGGGACCAAGAAAGGGACTGCTCTGCTCCTGCCCCTCACCACCGGGCTAAGCCAGCAACTCCCTGCTCCCAGCCAGAGGCCCCTGGAGACCAGGAGACAGGTGCAGCACGGGCACACGGACCTGAAGGGCTCCGACTCGTGCACGTCCAGTGCCGCGCCACGGATGCGTCCTTCCTTCAGGGCCTGGGCCAGCGCCTTCTCATCCACCAGCCCGCCRCGAGCTGTGTTCACCAGAAAGGCCCCTTGTCTCATCTGGGAAGACAGGACAGCAGGCAGGCAGTGAGCACGGAGCGCCTGTGCCCCAGGGCACATCTAGGAGCAAACCCACTCCCACCTGCCAGGGAGGGCTTGGGCAGAGGGCAGTGTGTCAGGGACTCGGAGCAGAGAGCAGGTGGCCACTGCCCAGAGCCCACTGCCCCAGCTCTAGGCCTCTGGCCACAGTGGATGCGCCAACATGGCTTCCTCCTCTTCCAGGCTGTCCTGGCCTCCTCCAGCAGAGCCTCAACCCACAAGTGGGGGCTCCGACCCTGCAATGAGCCCCCAAAGCCCCAGGATGAGGGAGCACACAGGCAGCTCCTCTGCAGGGGGCTCTGAAGTGGCGAGTTTCACCGCCCCCTCCTTCCTGGTAAGGGTTTCTCATGACCCTGTTTCACTCCAGCGACCCAGTCTGGCCGTGGTGGACCATGGTGGCCTAGTGCCACCGGAGTCAGAATGGCTTCTCCTTGGCCCATTCCTGCCCCCTGGCCACATAACCTGGTTCTGAGCAGTGTCATGTGGCCCAGCCTGGCCACTAAGCATCCAGGTGGCAGGGGCTGGCATCCTCTGTGTGGCTGTAACAGTCTGGGACGGACAGCAGGTGAGGACCCCAGGGGTGAAGGGCCTGGAGCCCTGCACTCCCCTGCCAGGAGTGGACCCCCAGCTGGCACCTTGCTTGGGAAGGCGTCTGCAGGTGCCTCGCCCACCTGCTTAACGGTGAAGTCGTTGATGAGGTGGTGGTTGTGCTCSTTGAGGCCGCAGTGCAGCGTCACACAGTCGCTGTGGAAGAGCAGGTCCTGCAGGGTGCTCACTCGCTGCAGCCCCTGGGCCCGTTCCCTGCCATCCGACAGGTACCGGTCATAGAAGAGCACGCTGAAGCCGAAGGCCTTGGCCCGTAGCGCCACTGCCTGCCCCACACGACCTGGCAGGGTGGAGACGGCGTCAGATGTGCCCCAGGGCTGACCCACCAGGCCAGCAGGCAGAGAAGCCCCACACTCCTGCCTGCTCAGCCCCTCCCCAGTCCACCAACAGGTCCACTCATCAAAGGCTGCTGGAATCTCAATTCCAGCCACCCATGAGCCCCCAAAGCCCCAGGATGAGGGAGCACAGGAGGAGATACCCCAAGGGATCCTCATTCCTGATAATCCAGGGTCAGAGAGAGGTCCCTGCCTTCCTCCCTGGCCCCACGGCATCCACGGCTGCTTCCACCTGGCCATCTGAGGCAGGCACAGCCCTGGCATGGGAGGCTCAAGCTGTGGGCTGCGATGTGGGGCCAGCTGCACATACCCACTGCACACTGGACTCAGTGGAAGACGGGTATCACAGCTTGCCAAGCTGGGGCCCATAGCACGGTGGTCTCCCTTGACCACACGGGGCAGTGACTGTCCAGAGCTCTAGGAGGGATGTGGGTACAGCTGCAGAGGGTGGCAGGGCAGGTGATGGGGCAAGCCACCCTGAGAAAGTGGAACATCAGACTTAAGGTGATGGGCGGGAGCCAGACAGTGGCCCCGAGCAAGGGTGCCCAGCACCCTGTGGGAGGTGGGTCAGGCCAGGCAGGGTCTCAAAGGAGGACTATGAGAGGGGCTGCTGGGCAAGGATGGGCACAGGCGCAGACCACAGGCAGGCAGGGTGCTGCAGACAGATGACCAGCCTGTTCGGTTCTGGGTCACAAGAGGCTGCCAGGGGCTACTGCTGAGGACGCAGGGGACTGGGTGCGCACAGCGCTCCCAGCACGGAGAGGTGCGGCTGTGCAGGAGGCAGACAAATCCCATCACCTGGTGGGCTGCCGTGGAGCGCTCTGAAGTCCTGGATTGTCGAAAGTAACCAAAGCCCAGGACCAGCACCAGCTGAGTGCTGGCCCTCACCTGGGATCCCGAAGAGCCTAAATGCTATTTACTCCCGTCACTGCTGTTCACGTGAGGCCTGCACTCCACAAGAGACCTCCATGTCACCAGCGGAGAAGGAAAGGTAGCTCCCAGCAAAAAGGAAGACCCTCAGAAGCACAGACGGCGGGGGTGGAACCGGCTGACCAGAACCTCACTGTGAACGTGCCACACAGAAGTTCCAGACCTGAAAACCACTGCTGAAGTGGACCTCACTGGGCAGGTCTGACAGCGGGAAGGGCCAAGGCACCTGCCCACTGCACAGGACAGAAAGAAAGGCTCAGAGACCTTTCAAAGAACAAAAGGCAGGTCCTGAGAGGAAAAGGACTCACGACACACAGCAGCCACACCCTATCCAGAGAGCGGGGCAGCCAGGTGCAGCAGGCCAGCCACAGGCTGCTCCATTAGACCCATGCTAAGAAGCACACAGACACCGAGAGCAGAGAGGAGAGAGGTAGCCCTGGCCTGCAGAGCTCCCGAGGAGTCCACACACCAGACCTCAGTGAGCTGTGTGGTCAGTGTACACATATCACCTGGATTTCCCAATGCTGACCATCATGGAGACATGAGACATGCCCTTTAAAACAGCACCAAACACCCAACACAGGCTGGGGTGTGGCTCAGCAGAGTGTCTGCCCTGCACACCAAGCCCTGAGTTCCAACCCAAGGCTGAAAACAAACACCAACACTAAGTCCAACTGCGTAGAAGCCATCACGACCGCACAAACGTGGCAGGTCCACAACACTGCCACACGGTTCGCTCCATGGTGCACAGGGAGGCAGCGGCCAGGGACCGAGCTTCAGAGAGGGCAACAGCAGGGGGGTCTCAGATTTGTCTGCACCAGCACAGCAAAGACCTGCAGTCGAGCCCCGTCCCAAGGAGGGGCTGCAGCAACACAGGAGCCCCGTGCCCAACGGCAGGACCTGTGCCCAAGGGATCTAGGGCACTGACCAGCAGACAGTGACAGTGACTTCCAGCTAAAGACGGCCTACCCCAGGCACACTCTCCACCTCTTCTCCCTCCTCACTTGGGAACCCATCCCTCTGTTGGTCCACATTGGGTGTGGGCTGTGCACGTGCCCCCAGGGCCACATGGCTGGCACAATGGAGCCACCAGATGGTCCTGATGAAGCAGAACAGACTGCACCCTGGGGCAGGCAGGAGTAGCAGCCATGAAGGAAACCTGGGAAAGGCAGTGTGCCTGGGATGCAGGAGGGGCACCTGGACACAGCCAGCTCCCCCACAGCCCCCATGGCCTGCTCTGATGCTGGACACCCTGAGAGTACAAGGCTGCCAAGCCAGCCCGCCCCAGGGGCCAGAGCAGCCACCCAGACCCACGTGCCAATACCCCGAAGCCCAGTTATGCAGCCCCTCACCTGACACACACCTGTCTTCCCACACTTCAGCAAACCTCAACGCCAGGCAGGAAGCACCATCCCATCCCTCTGTTGGGCCATGAGAAGGGCACACTCAGGGATCTAGGGCACTGACCAGCAGACAGTAACAGTGACTTCCAGCTAAAGACTGCCTACCCCAGGCACACCCTCCACCTCTTCTCCCTCCTCACTCGGGAACCCAAGCACACCCCACCCCTCAGTGCTGGAAGAGGCAGGCTGAGGTCAGCAGGTGCTGGGTACAGCTGGAGACAAGAAGGGTCAGGCACTCGGTCACAAGGTGAGTGCCCAGAAATGAGTTCCTGCACTGTCCACACGGGACCAGAGAGATGGGCACCAACGAGACAGAGACAGCTACAGGGTCAGGAGAGGGGCCCAGCTACTACAGAGCCACAGCGAGGGAGCACATGGAGCACAGGAGGGAGTCAGGACGCCACACCGGCAGGGGTGCTGGGAAGGGCCCAGGGCTGCCCGGTCCTCATCGGATAGCTGTGTCCACTCAGCCACTCCAGGGTCCACACTGGGTGTGGGCTGTGCACGTGCCCCCAGGGCCACATGCACAGCATGTGTGTTCTGTGCCTATATGCCATCTGAGTGTGGTGTCCAGTGTGCCCAAGTGTACCCCCATGTGTGTGAAGCACAAGGCCTGATGCCCTTGCCCCTGAGTTGTTCTTCCTCAGTCCTGGCCCTGGGCTAGGGACCAGTGCTGCAGCCACAATGTGAGCCTGGGCCTCATCTTCTCCTGAGCATGAGATGGGCAAGGGGCAGCAGACGCACCTGGGCTGTGCGTGCTGAGCCTCGATGGCCAACGCACCTAGTCCAATGATGCCCAMGGTCTCCCCGCGGATCCTAGCGGCTCCTGAGGCCACTTCGCGGATCTGCTCAACACTCTGGACCCGCGTGCCTTCCCGCAGTGCCTGGTGCAGCCAAGTBGTCCGACGGTACAGGTTCAAGATGTGGCACATGGTGGAGTCCGCGGTCTCCTCCACAGATGCTGCAGGCACGTTGCAGACAGCAATGCCTGTGGGGACACGAACACACACATCACCCCAGATGCAGGCAGAGCCCGGCCTCCAGGACAGACACGCAGACCATGGTGCTGGGGCACGTCCTTAATGCCATGCTTCACCAGCAGAATGCCAGGGGACACATCCCATGGCCACCCTGGAAGGCCTCAGACAACGTGTGCCACGCTGATCTGCTGGCAGTGCAGACTGACCAGCCCCAAGCACGTGGGGTCTGACTCTGTCCACCCTGTGGTACCCTGCACACTGTGTCTGCAGCCTTGTACCGCACACACTAGTGACCAGTAGGCAAGGGCAAAGAGGCTGCTTTAACCCTTCCTGATGGTCCGGGGACCTGGGATGTGCTGGTAGCAGAGAAGACAAGATGGTCAGCACTGGACTCCTCCCCAGCCAGGCCACAGGAGGGCAGGGTCTCTCCCCACCAGCCAGCACTCATGGGCATCACTGCCGACTGCTTCCCTGGGCTCTCCAGGACAAACAGGCCCTGGCCCCAGGCCTTAGTGATCCCCTCAGGCCCTGTGCACCCCTGTGCCCCTCGCCTGCTCCCCACAGCCAAGACCAATGCCGAAAGGCAGAGCCAGTCAGACAGGGCTTGTGCTGCCCACCAAACAGTGCCCCAGATGTCTTGAGGTGCAGGGTCCGAGCACTGAGAAAGCACCTGAGCCTATTCTACAGGACAGAGGTTCCTTCCACCCTGCCTCCTGGCCCTCAACCACCAACCTCCCCGCACACTGCCCCCCGGCCAGGAGCTCCTACTTCCTGTTGAACACTCTCGCCTCCAGCTTGTTCCAAGACCTGCCCCAAGTGTTGAGGGGGGTCTGACAAAGGGAGGACTCAGGACAGAAACCATACTGCCCTCCAGAAATGACACGCTGAACCATCAAACATGGGAGGCTGGGGGGAGCTAGCCACATAGCCTGTGAGACTCGACACAAAACTGCCACCTGAGGGTGGACGGGTCCCAGGAACCCATCAGGCCTGGAGAAACCAAAGTGGCCAGGTCTCACAGTGTCCCCGACAACAAGGTGGAGCCCCAACCTGGAATCCTAGGGACAGGGGAGATGGCACACAGTGGGGGCCCTGGCCCAGGGACGCTGCCTGCTTGTCCTAGGAGGGCAGGCCAGCCGAGGCATCACTGTGCAGCAGGAGCGGGTGGGCCAACAGAACCGAGCTGACTTTCCAACACCACCCTGCCCTGCCAACAGCAGGATCCACACGTTTCTGCCTCTGCAGTCCCTGGAGCAGAGGACGAGCCAGGCAACACATGCCAACCAACAGCACTGTGGGGCTGGACCCTGAGCCACCACTCTGTCACCACCCGAGAGCAGGTAAAGGACTCAATGGAACGCAGCAGCTACTGGCCCAGCCTGGCTGGGCACTGCTGTGCTGTCGGCCTGTGTATCTGCCCCATGCTCCTGGGGGAGCAGTCCTCTTCGGCGCCTACCTACTGGAGCACACCTTTGCAGGTGAGCCAGGGCCGCACCCTACCTAGGTCCCCAGCCGACTTGATGTCGATGTTGTCAAAACCACTGCCGATCCGCACGATTATTCGTAGAGCTTTGAACTTCTCCAGGTCTTCTCTGGTCAGCGTGATGGTGTGGTACATCAGGGCGCCCACCGCCTCGTTCAGCACCTGCCGGGGAGGAGGAAAAAAGTGCTAAGTGGCCACAGCAGCTGGCACCGTCCTGCTCCTGGCTTGGTAATGCATAGAGCAGTGCCAAAGGGCAGCTCCAAGCCAAGAAGCACGATGCAAGGCATCATCCTCAGCATCAGCAGTGCCTCCAACTAGGCGGGCGCCAAGCGCACCTCAAATGTGGCCCTGCCCCGAGACACACCCACACGTGGCCATGCCCCTACACCCTGCCCCAAGGACCAGGTTCCAACTCCCTGGGGCCTGACAAGGTGGGTGGGCCCACAGGGTGCAGACCCCTGGACCCATTTATGTAGTATGGACAGGATTAGGGGAACAGTGGTCAGGGTCAAAAAGGCCCCTGTGCCTGCGCAGTGTGGGCGCAGGAGGGGGAGGACCACCTCTGCAGGGCAGCAGCAGGTGAGGCTGAGGCCAGGCTACCCATGCTAGAAGACAGGCGGATCCCGGACAGAGCAGGAGTGGCACCAGGGGAGACCCCAGGAGTCCAGCCTGGCCGGGCAGGATGCCTATGGGTCCCTTGGCCATGGGCAGGCCTGACGTGTGCTGGCATAAGCACACAGTGGACAGCTTTTTTATCCTGTCCATCTATCATGGTAGAAGAGTCTTGAAGAACAGCATCTGACTATACCACAGAAGGCACAGCAGATTCACCAGGTACCTAGACAGCCCCGCTGTGGCCCTCAGGTGGCCTCCAGTACTGAGTTCTGTGGCAAAACCATTGTCTGTTTTCCTGTCACACAGATACAAGCCACTGTGTCTCTGAAAAGCCTTGCTGCAGCCCACCATGGAGGGGCCAGTGGACGCTCCATCAGTGCTGGAGCCATAGAGTTCTGCAGTGCCAGCTGGCGCCTGCCACCACTGTGACACGCATGTCAGAGCGTCATCTGCCCATCTACGAGTCTAAATTTTTTTCATGTTGCCCTTTTTTTTCCACTGAGTATGTTTTTAGTAACAGAACAGGAGCCTAGATACCGGCATGTTTGTTTTGAGTCATGTTCTTAGAAACAGAAACCAGTGCGTCTGCAGAGCCCAGGTTCTGAGCACTGCCCACTGCACCAACAGCAGAGCCGGCTGACTCCCTGGGTGGACTCACCACCACACACACCAGTGTGGGCGCAGGAGGGGGAGGACTGAGGCATGTGCTCGGTTCAGGACAAAAGCCTCCTGGGGAACGGGCTTGCTGTGGTGGTGAGTGGTCCGGAGGTTGTAGCTTCAGTGCCCCAGGTCCCTTTAGTGGTTGCCAAGTGGCCGCTCTGCTCCTGGGTGTTGCATTAGCCCTCTAAGGAGAAAGTCGGCTGGTGTGGGTGTACTAGGTCTGTCCCTTTAGGTTAAGCCTCCCAGAAGCCACACTCTGCCAGCATCCACTCACTTGTCCCCCTTGACCAGCTGTGATCAGGCTGGTGACTAACCCCCATATGCTCAGTGTCCACATGGCTAGGATGGGGTTAACACAAGACCCAGGCTTGCAGAAGGCCATGGGAGGCCTGGTGTGTGCTGACTTTCCAGGGATCAGCTGTCACCTGGGTAGAAACTGACCCCTGGACACTTCTGTGACAGCAGGTTCTAAGGGGGCTCACTGGACACCACTTCAAACCAAGGCCAGGGTGGCGGCTGAGAGCACGCAGGGCCATGGCCCCACACGGCACAGTCCCGCTGCCCTCGGCCCCTCACCTGTGCTCCAGAGGCTCCTCTGCGTGTGCAGGCTGAGGGCCACAGGAGCAGGGGTGGCCTGCTCCATGTACGACGCTGCCCAGGGGGCAGCGAACATGCCCACTCAGTGGCAGGACCACAGCACTGCCCCTGCTGACTGACGGTGGGGACTGTGCAGGAGCCTCGGGCTCAACAGCCATCTCCACAAGGCCGGCTGGGCCTTGCCACTGAGGTCACTATCCATCCCCTGCATCAGGCAGTCTACCCCCTTTCCCGCTCCCTGGAGCACTCCCAGGACTGCCCCGGCCCTGCACGTGGCCCATGTGAGGTGCTGCGCTGGGTCCCTCCTTGCCTGCCCACAGTGGCCTGGACTCAGCTCACCGCACTTTGCTCACACACCAGACAGCACTGTCCATTCCGTGGCACTGTCCCTGAGTCTTGTGGTCTGGATGCACTGTTGGAAGACTCCCAAGATTAGATGGTGACAGGTCCTGCACTGCGGTCTCCGCCCTCTGGCCTGGTCCCAGATGTAACTGCAGCTGGGTCCCCAGGTCCAGGGTAATGCAGCCTATAGCTGGATATCCACCCACCACCCTGCAAGGCTTCCGGTGGCTTCTGCTGCATATGGCATCATTGTATTTCTTGTGTGTCCCCAGAACCTCGACCTGGCCAGGCCCTCTGGATGCCCAGTGCCCCTGGGTGCAGCAGACTCCTGGTTCCCTGGCCTCCCTGCTGCTCCCTGCTGTGTGGCTGCTCAGCATTTAGGTTAGATGTTCTGACCCTGGCTGGAAATTCTCTGCCCTCAGAAGCTGAACAGCACCCACTGGGGTGTCTTGTGGGCCCCCAGTGCTCCTCCCAGGCTTGTGGCAGGACAGCACATCTCCCCTGAGCCCTGGAAGCGTTTCTTCTCTAGTTCTGGCTTTGATGACGTGTTCCCTCCTCTGAGACATTCAGAGGATGACTCCAACTAGCTGTGAATGCAGTGCTGTTCCAAAGCAGTGACAAGATGGGACACATTCCCAGGGCCATAGCCTAGGGCAAGTGGTCTATGGGCTCTGTGGCATCTCCAGTCATCTGGGCCCCAAGCTCCTGTCTTATTACTCTGCCACTCCCAGTACATGTATTCCCTCTTGTGGTCCAAAGTGCCACCCAGGCTCTAGCCATCACACCTGGTTTCCAGTCAGCAGAAAGAGAGGAGGGAGATCTGCACACGGAACTCCCACTGACCTCTCCCTGTGAACCGTCACTTGGCCACACAGCAGCAAGCATACTGGGAGAACGAAGCCCTCCTTCAGGACCAAATGGAACCAGCACCAGCAACGTGTTGGAGCTCCTGGTGCCCCTTTCCTTCCCAAACTCCACCTCTTTCTTGAGACCTCCTCAACGGTGTCAAGCTTGCTGTCACAAACTTTTTCATGCATATTTAAACTCCCAGTTCTTTCCAGCTCTTGGAGGATTCTGCCCTCTGGTACCCTGCTCTTGTTTTTCAATTAGGTGCCACTTTTACCTCTGAGAATGCTAATTCACAGTTCCTAACACTCTCTCTCATTCCTGGAGTGAGAGTCTGTCCCTAGGCAGAGTCTGTTGGTACCTCTAGCATGCTCGGCCTACAGCAGGGCTCTTACTTCTCCTCCAGGGGCTGACACAGAGGGTAGCAAGTCTGCCACCTGTTGAGCCCCCTGCCCCACTAGGGTTCTGTCCACTTGTCTATCTGTTTTTTGACTGTTAAGTTGTTGAGAAAGTCCTGGTATATTATGGTGTGGGGGAAAACATCTGCTCTGTCCTAGACCTCACCTCCAGTACTGCTGGAGACCCTGAGACCCTGTCCACTCCTGTCTTCACTTCAGGCACAAGCTCCCGTCCCCACACTTCCCTGCACCACACGGCACACAAGTGTCAACCCCGCACTCCTGGCTCCCACCCTGACTCCTCCCCGAGGGCAGAGCTGCTGTGTGGCACCCTGAGTTGGCCTTCCCCAGTACACTGCTGCTGAGACTTGACTCGCTGCAGAACCAGCCCTTTTTTCCTCTCCTGTGCCTAGTGAGATCCCGTTGCTTGATGCACTCGTCTGGGGTCACTTGCCCCTAATAGGCATCTGGGCTCCTCAAGGCATCAAACTTCCTGCACCTTCACCAGTCCCAGTGGACGTAGTTGTAAGTGCATGTTTAGAGGGCAGGGGTCTCCAGAGCAGTGGCCCCAGCGTCTACCCTGCAGAACCGTAGCACATTTTTAAGGTGTCGTTTACATCTCTCACTTTTGGAAGTTCTCTGCTGTTCTGGCCTCACCCTCTGCTTGGGGCCTCTTGCTGAGGTCTGCTGGAGCACGCAGTGCCGTGCTTGCACTCCTCCCCGCCCTGCACATGGGGCCCAGTGGAGACTTCTGCCCCTGGTGTGCAAGGCAGTTAAATGGGCCCTGCAGAAACGCGCTCTCCAGCTGCAGCCTCTGTTTCCTCCTCCATGTCGCTATCACCTCTTCTTCAAAGCCTGCTTTTTCTCTCCAGCTGTGGTGGGAGCAGGCGACCACAGCCAGCCAGGCTCCTGGAGGCCAGCACCTCTGCTCCTGCTGTACCATGCTCATCTTGCCTCAGTCCATTGGACAGTGATCCCTGACGGCCTGCAGAAATCCCTGGGGCCTGCTGCATATCTCCCTCTGGGGAGTGCACAGTAATGCAGTCAGCAGCAGACCCTGCAAGGGTGTGCTCAGCCGGGCTGTGGGCGCCAGGCCCCTCAGCAGAGCTCAGCTGCTCCTTCCAGAAAAGCAAAGTTCACCCACACCTGAAGACCATGGTCCTGGCTGCCAGCTCACAGAGCTTCTGAGAGGTGAAGAGCTTTACACAGCCTCTATAGCTGTCTTCTGTGGAAAGGCCGTTCTGGGTCACTTAGCAGAGACCAGATTAACATAGTTCACATCACAGAGGGACCCTGTGGATCTCGGTGAACGGCCATGAGTTACCAGCTGCTGACCACTTGACCACGTGCACCAGGAGAACTTGTGGGCAACGCCAAGGGAGACAGTGGTGCCCACTGGAAGCAGCTGCTGATGGCCTCTGGCACAAGGTGCTGCTTCCACTAATTCCAGCCGACACTAGTTCTGCTTTCTAGGAGAGAACTGGTCATGGTAAAAGTCAATCAAGAAGCCACAGAGTGAACTCCGTCTCCACCTTCTGATGGGGCCAGACACAACAGCAGGGACCACTCACATCCAGGTGGCACTTAGACCAATACCAGTCAGGGGTGACACATACTGGCCCAGGCCATGGCGAGGTCAGCCCACACTCTGTGCGCCCCAGCCCCGCCCTCAGCCCCTCAACCCCACGTGAAAGTAGGTTAACCCCAGGCAGGGATGCCAGCACTACCTTCTCATGGATCTCCTGCGTGGACTGCGCGTCACAGAAGGCCACCGTAGCCACGTCCTTCAGGATGGGCATCTCCACCGTGCAGTCCCGGCCGTCAAGCAGTGCCACCAGGGGCCGAGGGTGCATGGGCCCGTTCATGATCGGGGGTCGGACGCCTGCAAAACAGGACAGGCCACTCAGAGTCCTGCGGCAGTGCAGCCCAGCTGATGCCTGTGGCCCCACCCAGGGGTGGCGAAAGCCAAGCCCAAGGAGGCCTACTGCACACTGCGTGCAGACGGGCTCCGCAAAGAAAGGGGAGACAGCCCAACCTGCTGGCTCACTGACGCTGGCACACAGTCCAGCGGCAGCCCCATCACCCTCCCAGGTGCAGAGCTACGGAGGCCCTTGGGGAACTCTGGGCCGCTGGGAGTGGGGGGTCTTGGGCCTGTGCTCTCCGCTGTGGGGTCACCTTCTCAGCCCTGGAACGTGTAGACCACATGCAGTGGGCTTTAGTGAAATGCCCATCATTTTTTTTCTGCCTAGAGCCACGTCTGGCTGCCCAGAACTTCCAGGGGGGTCACCAGGGGACTTGAGCCTGCCTGCCTCATTCATTTCCCTTTGCATGTTTGTAGTACTCTGACAGAAAAGGGTCAAAATATGCTCAGGCAAGGCACAGTGGTACACACCTATGATCCCGGGAGGCTGAGGCAGGAGAATCAAAGTTCAAAGCCAGCATCAACAACTTAGCAAGGCCCTAAAAATCTCAGCAAGACCCTGTCTCTAAATAAAATATTTAAAAAGGGCTGAGGATGTGGCTTAGTGATTAAGCATCCCTGGGTTCAATCCTCGGTACCAAAAACAAAACAAAACAAAAAAACATTCAGACCCCTTACCCTCCCAGAACAGGACAATTAGGGCTGGGAGTGGGGGTGGGGGCTAAGCTTAGAACACCTGCCTAGCATGGCTAAAGCCCTGGGTTCAGTAACCAGTACCAAAAAGAAGGAAATGAACTTCTATAAGCTAACTTCTTCTAAATGTGATACAACTAAACCTCATTCAGGGCCAAGACTGGGAAATGGGCTTCTAAGGTGCAATCAGCATTCAGCCCAAGTGTTACCCTGGAGCAGAAAGCATGGGGAGGGCCACAGCCAGCCCCATCCAGCCCCATAGCCTCACCAAAACCTGCCCAAGAGGAGCAGCCCCCAGAAGCACTGGACCAGCATGAGGGGCAAGGAAAAGGCCAAGAAGCAGGGGCTGGGCAGGTCTCCTGAGGGTGTGACAGCTACAGCTGGCAGAACAGCTGCTCTGAGGGTGCACTGCACCTTGGCTCCAGCCCCACCCCAGCTGTCTGCAGGGTGAGGCTGCCCTGAGCCACTAGTGGCCTTGAAGGAAGAAGCACCTCAGAATCCACAGCACATAAAGGTGATGCCTCAAAGGACAACCGGAGCTGGGCACTGCAGACCACCTTGCCCATGTGCAGCAGGCCTGGAGCTGGCATCTGCTGGAGAGAGGCACAGGGCTCTCCCCAGAGCCAAACAGCTAGGGTCCTGGCTATAAAGGGCAGAGAGCTGATCTGCACAAGGTGGGGCACTGCTGCATATATGCCGCACTCCTGGGGTTCAGGGGCTCCAGCCCCTCCCTAGTAGAAGATGGCGCCCACATCACCATCTTCTAAACACCAGAGGTGCCGAGACCTGTCCAGGCCATGGCCCTTGAAGTAGGGTCTGCAGGTCAAACTCCTTCACCCTCTGGCTCCCTCTGGATCAGAGCATCCCACAGAGCCAATACACCCCGCCGACGCTGTAAGCAAACATGCCAACGAGGCCACTCTTCTCCTCACCCTGGATTTGGAAAGTGTCACTTATATTAGCAGGTAATGCTACTGCTTCCTGTAAGTGAGCTGATGAGCCCCATTCTTCAGCTCTAACCTCTGTAAGAAATGGGAGTGAAAGTCCACATGCACACGAGTTCTCTAAGGCCATGGAGCACCTGCTCAGAGCAGTGGACCCTGCCCTGCAGATGGTGGACACTTGTTCCAGGGAGCCTCATTAGCAGAGGGGCCTGGGATACCTCCCTCACCCTATAAACAGCTGTCCAAAGGGAAGCCTCCCGGATGCCAGCATGGGTGACCCAGTTGAGGAGCCAAGCCCCACCCAGCCCAGTGTGCTTGTGGCACCTCCACAAGAGCTGCCCCAACCACAGCCCAGTCTCAGGGAGGGGGCCAGGGTTGAGAGAACACCCCACCAGTGCTGGGAAGATCCTGTGGGAGCAGCGTGGCCCAGACGCGCATTGACTCCATGAGTTCCCTCCCGAGAACCCTGCTGCCCCACACTGGGCTGGCAGGCTGGGGTTTCGGGTCCTCACCAAGGCTCCATGAGGCCCCGAGGACCCACTGTCCTCCACTGTAGCGAGACCTGGCCTAACACCCACCTCAGAGCCTCTCTAGAGTACCTGTCCACAGAAACAAAGCCCAGCACAGGCTGCATGCAGGCCTGCTGGATGTGCAGGAAACAGCCCTCTGGGGGCCATCTGCCCTCACCCCAACAGCGAGTGGTAGAGGCTGGGACCTCAGCCAGGCAGGCCCCACAACACACTGCCAGGGTACTACCTTCACACCACAGCATGGGCACAAGCTCCTCTGCACCTTCAGAGAAGGCCACTCTCAGACTCTAGGAGCCCCTACCAACCTGACATTGCTTAATTTAGGCAGGATTTCCGCGACCATGAATTCGACTGTCCAAAGCTTTTTGTCTTCAGAATCCCCAGGCAGAACCGCGTCCTGTCACGGAGCCTCATCCCACGTCTTATTGTCTCCAACCAAAGCTCTCRGGCCGCTGCTCCACGGCACCACTGAGGCCTGCGTCGGGCTCAAAGTCTTACTAAAAATCAAACATAAGAGACACATTAAAACGCCATTGAGGGTCCAGCTGACACTCAGACTCCAGGACACCGTGAGGGTGAAGCTTCATGCTGCATCCTCGACCCTGCCCAGATGCAGCCAACGCCTGGGCCGCTGGCTCGACCTACCTGAAACAAAGGGCCTCCTGCAGGCCGCAGGCCCCACGGTACCCTGTGCAGACCCATGAGGTGCTCACTCTGAATGCAGGTCCCAGGCCCAAGGCCAGCCCCCAAAGTCACCTACGCAGACCTAAGAACAGCTCTGAGCTGTGGCCACACCACAAGCCTCTGGCTCTGCCCGGATGCTAGCACTATCCAAACATTGGAAGGCTAAGGCATGGGGTGTATGGTTGGAACTGGGTGCAGGACAAGGAAACTGCAGAAAGAAGCCTACTCGTCGCTTCTACCTACGTGGACAATTCCTGGGCCTCTGTGAGGCTTGCCACGGGAGAAGGTTGCCAGGTGCTAGCTCTCCAGTGTCCTGCCCAACTCTCCTGCCAGTCCCACTGCCCCTGCCCAAAGCAGCTCAGCAATCAGCCGACACTTGTTCGGCTCCTCAATGCCCTTGGCTCTTCCTGCCTGGCTGCAGCCAGGGCCTGGGGGCACTAAGATGTGGGCCGGCTGGGCCAAGGCCTGTCCTAGAAGGCTAAGCACAAATGGCTCAGACCCCAGGAGCCTGCCACTGAGTCACCCAAGCACAAGCACCTGATCCCTGTTCTTGGCATGAGGTTACCACACAGGGGCTGACACCGAAGTCTGACTAGACATCAGACTGACAGATGGAACCCAGCCTCACCACCCCCTCAACAGCATAGGTCGAACAAGACCACCTGTCAGGCAGCATCTCTGACAGCTCAACAAGAAGGGGCCATGCATGGCCAGAAGTCCAGGACCCAAGCCCAGCCCATCCTCCCCTCATTCTCTGTGAGGCTCCAAGCATACACACTGACCCACCATCACTGGCTCCAGTTGCTACACACTTCTAGGACATGTGCATGGCTCACTGCCCACCATGCAAGGCCACCAAACAGGGTGGTGATGTGGCCCCAGAACTGCAGCCCCTGCCACAGGGCTACCTAGGCTCTTCCCCAGCAGAGGGCACTGGAGTAGCACTGTGGGAGAAGGGATGGGATGGGCCAGGCTCCCACCCCATCCACTTGCTCACAGCAGCTGACACTGCCAGCCCTGTCCCTGAACATAAATGCTGTCAACACCATTAATACCAATCAATACTTAATCTAATTAGTGCTGACCAACACTGGCCAATACTCAGTTTGCCCATATCTGTCAATACTTTTAACAGGGTTGCTCTAAAAGGGAAATGCCACCAGATATACAAGGTGTTCCCGTAATGGCCCTGCAGCCCCAACAATGAGTTGCCACCTCCCAAGCTCCCCAAGGTCACCAGGTCACCAGGCTGGGTGGTCTTCTCATGCACAGGTCCTTGGTGCCCTGTCTTCAGGAGAGACCACTGGTCTCCATCACTAAGCAAGACACCCAGGGAGTGGTTTTAAGCCTTAAGACAAGGACATGAGCATGAAAAGGGAGGTGACCCCAATCAGTGCCCACAGCCAGGTGGGCCCCCAGCCCAGAGCTCCATATGAGCCAGGCCATGCCCTCCCCAGCTCACCCAGAGGGAGATGGCCAAGGCCCAAGCCTATCTACAGACACTGCTTAGAGGGGAACCTGGGAAAACCTGGGGACAGGACACAAGGACAACCCAGGCCTCACAGAAGCCCTGCGGGCCATACCAGCAACCCCCATCCAGTGCTTACACCCTGGGGCTCTTCCTGGGCAATCTGGGAGACCTGCCAGGGTAGCCACTTGGTCCCCTCCCCAGCCAGGAAGCAAGTGCTTCCAGCCATCAGCACCAGCAGACATGCCACAAAGCATCCTTGTAGCATCCGAGGGCAGCACACCTGGCAGGCAGGCACCAGGTGTGCACAGGGGCTCCGTCTGTCACGGCAGGGGCTGAGTATGCAAAGGGGCCTTCCCTGAAGGGTACAAGGATGCCCCAAGTGTACTGGGCGACCGAATGGGCAGATGGCCAAGTGTGCCCTCAGGGACCCTCTGTCTCTGGCCCCTCACTGCTCCCAGCAAGGTCCTAACCCACACAACCAGGTGGGGAAAGGGAAGGGGCACAAGTATGGCCACAGAGTGCCTAAGCTCTGCTGTGCTGCACACACAGACTGAGAGGCAGGACCATGGGGCTAAAGGGCCGAGCCAGGGTGTGTCCACCAAGGCTGCCCCCACACACCTCAGCAGGGCTCCCAGCTTTGCACTCCACAGAGGGTGGTCAGAGCCATGCACCTGGGGAGACCCAAATGCAGCAGGAACCCGAGCCAGCACCTTCACATAGGCCACTGCTCTAACGCATGTGTCACATGGCAGCAGGATGGCAACGTGGGGGGACAGCTCTCCGGGGTGGGTGGGTACATGGAAACTCTCAGTACCATCTGTGTAATTTCTTCTATAAATTCAGAACTGTTCTAAAATTAAAATTTTATTTTAAAGCGGGTAAGGGAAGGGACAGCAGCCCCCAGGTTTTTGGAGGCAACAGGTCCAGGGGACTGCTGGATGACATGGGCCCCTGTTGTGCACCAATGCCCTTGGGGACCCCCAAGAGACCCCAGGGCCACATGCCCTGCCTGAGTCACCTCCATCCACAAGGCAGACAATGCCCCCAGTACAGGTCTTGGGGGACCTGATGGGCACACACTGATCCTCACAGCCCTCATAAGGACCCGGATTCAACTGCCCAAAACTCATCCCAAACAGTCCAGGCTGTCCCCAACTGGCTGGTCCCCCCACCAGGGCCATCTGGGCTTCACTGAGACATCCACTTGGGTTACCCAGGACCCAAGGCCCAGAGTCTGGCCTTTTGCATATGGTGGAAGGTGGTGGGCGGGTGCTAAGCACAACAAGCCTACTACCTGGGGGGCTGAGCCCTGTGGGGCACGGGGCACCTGAGGGATGAGGGCATCATGGAGAGCAGGCAGAGGGTATGGGGCCACACAACCCTCCAGAGGACAGGTGCTGCTGAAGGCATGGGAGATGGTGACCACAGGAGCCCAGGAGTCCAGGAGCTCCACAGCACCCCACCCCGGCACTTGTAACCACACCAGGAAAGGCACAGGATGAACACAGTGTGGACCAGCCACCACGACTCATTGCCAGGGATGCTGAGGGAACTCACGCATCCTCCTGTGTCTGTACGCATGTGCGTGGTACACAGACATCCCAGGCGTGACCCAAGAATACCACCTGCTCCCGGGCAGTGAATGGGAGCCCCACACTTATGGCATCAGCAGCCCAACATGATGTGAAGAGTCCCAGCCTTCTAAACATCACATGTGGGCTGGGGATGTGGTTCAAGTGGTAACGCGCTCATCTGGCATGTGCAGGGCGCTGGGTTCAATCCCAGCACCACATAAAAAAAATATTGTGTCCACTGAAAACTGAAAAATAAATATTAAAAAAAAATTCTCTCTCTTCTCTCTAAAAAGAAAAAAAAATCACATGTGCTGCAGGGAAACCAGCCCACACAGAACACAAAGGTCACAGGACCTATCAAGATGCACAATGGAGACCAGCAGCCCACCAAATACAGTGGCAGAGAGGGCACCATGGGCCATAACAGGAGCCTTACACACACACACACACACACACACACACACACACACACACACGGTGAGCAGCAGAACACCCCAGCCTATCCAAATCAGCCCAAACCTGCTGGGGAATCAGGGGGCAGGGTTGAATTCCAATCCCTCCAAGTCTTCAAGCTCCTACACTGTCCTCGAGAGCTAGCCATGTCACCATCACCACCCCAGCAGCATGGGTCCAGGACTGACTAGGGGGTCATGTGGAATGGGTCCAGAGGAATGAACCCACAGAACTCAGTCTTGGTTAGACGTTCAGCTTGAAGACTGGCCACCCAAGAGATTTCTGGTTTTGTAAGGAAGAAATGATCAGTCTCTAGATACTACGCTGCATTCCTGAAAGGGACCACGCATGATGTGGACAGCACCCCATGGGTTGCCTGACACCAATGGACAAGAGGGTGACTATAGGGATGCTGGAGACTGCAGGGACCCAGGCCAGACATATCCACACCTCACAGAGCTCACATCTATAACTGCCAGGACCAGCCCAGTGACCGTAAGATACCAAGGGGATGCTGGCAGGCCACACACACAGGTGACAGGGCTGAAATCAAAACCAGCTGGCCATAAACTGCTATTCCCCTCCTGTCCTGGCCACGTAGGGCTGGGAGCCAGACCTCCCTACAAAGCAGAGGACTGGGCCTTGGCCCCCTGCCCGGCACTACCCAAGCCAAGTCCTGTCTCCCACCCCTAGCTAGGGGATGGATACAATAAGCATCTGTAAAAGGTATCACCAGGAGGTGATGATCTTGGTACACACAATCACCAGCTGGAGCACTCTGTGCCAAGGAGCCATGGAGATACCAGGTCACAGTGGGAATGGGCTTGACCTTCACAGGGGTTCCAGCAGCACTCAATGCTGCCCAACAGGTGCCTCCCAGAACTGCAAGGCATTGGCTCCACATCTCAGACCTTCAGGTGTGCCACACACAAAGCTCAAAGGGCAGGTGACAAACAGCAGAATTGCTATCTGGGGTGAAGGGGGCAGGAGGCCAGGGGTCCCATCTCAGAAAGCTGAGAGCCTGGTGCCCACGTTTGATGAGGTGGTCTCCTGCCATCTGCACTCCTCCAGCAGACTCGCTGACCTTGCGCCAAGTGACAATCTGACAGATTGTCCAAAAAGTGGCAGCACCAACCCCAGAAAAAATAGAAGGGGTCCCAGCCCTGACACTCAGCAGGCCCTCAGTCCATGAACTCTAGCCAAACCTCCCAGGACCCAATGCTGACCTCAAGCTAAAGAGAAAGTCCCTGCTTCAGGGGCCAGGCATGACCGTCCCATCTCACAGCAATCAGGAACTGAAGAGCTGCCTCCTATGGCTAAATAGGGCAAGATCACAGGTTGGGCCTTGAGCCATTCCCAGAGGAGGCTGGGCAGCTAGGCAGAGGATGGGGGCACCCAGGGAACCAGATGAAGCCCAGTGCACATCCCCCACCACAAAACCTTACAGAGCACCCCAGAGGTATAGCACATGCTCAAAGATGATTAAACCACAGAAAAGAAAGATGGCTGCAGCGCTGACAAGTCAAGACAAGCTTTGTCCCTTAGAGACAAACCCAGCCGAGACCCACTGCAAGCCTGCAGATGACAGCCAGGACAGGAACCTGAGGTCCCAGCAGGAATCCACAGGCCCTGGTCCATGTCACCCTGGAGAACACAATATCCACAGCAAGGCCATCTCTAACAAACTTCCAGGTCAGAGAAAGGGTGGCCCCCAAATCCAGCTGCCATGCTAAGTAACAACCGCAAGCACAGTTACAGAGCCCAGCGCTACCCCGTGTTGCAGATGGCGTCGCAGACAACTAACTGGGAGGCCACACACACTGGTCAAGGGCGGGCCTGGGCCAGTGCTCTTGCTGGCTGTAGCCACTCCTCTAAGGAGCATGCTGCCGCACCACGACCCCACTCAGGAGCAGTGCGCGGTGAGCAGTGTGCCTGGTCCTGACCATCACCCCACCGCGGATGGGCATCCTTTGCCTTCTTGTTTCTGACGAACACGTGCTCTTTGAGCACAAATGAGGAAGAGACGAGGGACTGGGAAAGTAAACATCCAGCGTATGGGGCCTGCGGGGGAAGGCTGGCCCCCAGTACGACCGATCTCGGGCTCACCTTCCTGACCATGGAGGGCACCCGTTTCCTTTCTAGAAGGCCTCTCTGCGCTACCCAGTGGCGGGGAGCCTCCTCGGCACCGGGCCCGGCCCGGCGGCGCGCACCCGCCAGGGGCAGCCCAGCCTCCGACAGGCCCGGATCTGCGGACGCCGCCCTGCCGCTCCCGCGAGCACTGCGGAGGGGCCCGTGGACAAGAGCTGGGGGCGCCGCGGCATGGGGAGGCTGCACGCCCAGCGGCGGGCCTCGGGATCCGGCGACTTCTGCAGACCAACTCCGGCGAAGCCGCAGGCCCTGCCGCCCCGCAGGTCCAAGCGGGCCTCGCGGCGCCTCCACGACTGGCCCACCTCCGGACTTGCGCCCCCGCTTCCGGAAAAAGGCCGGAGGGACTGCGCGGGGCCGGGACCGCGGGGTGGCGGCGGCCAGTGCGGCCCGCGGGCCCCTTTGTCACCCGCGCCGGCCGCGGCGGGCGGGGACGGCATGCGCACGCGCACTCACACGCAGCAGCCACGCATGCGCACGCCTCTAAGCCCGCCCCGCCGGCGCGCACGCGCACTCGCACACAAAGCCGGCGTCCGCGCGCGCCCGGCCCGCCCCGCCCCCGCCCGCGGCCGGAAATGCGCGCGCGCGGCCTTACCGAGAGGCAGGCCCTTGTTGAGCAAGTGCGAGCTGCCCATTGAAAGGCGCGGACGGCCGCGGGCCCTGACGAGTCCGGCGCGCTCAGCCGCAGCGAGCCCCGCGCCTGGGGCGGCCTAGGCGCCGTCCGCTGTTGCGCCCGCCCGCCTGCGCTCGGCCGCCGCCGTGCCGAGCCGCCGCCGCGCCGCGAGCCGCGCTCCGACCGACCGAGCGGGCGGGGACACGCGGCGGCGCGCGGGCGGGCGGGGCCTCGCGTTGGTCTGCTGTTTGCCGGCGAGGCGGCGCGCCGGACCCACTCGGGCGGCTGAGGGGCAGCTACCGACCCCGCGCGCCCGAGCCTCCGCCTCCCCACCCGGCGGTGCCCGGCAGTGTTGGCCCTCCACAGGCCGCGCCCCCTCCCTTCCCCGCATCCCCTGTCCCGGCCATCCTCCTCCCGGGCACCGCGGCCCCTCAGCTGCGCCATGTCCCCCGCCTCCGGCCAAACCCGAATGAGCAACATACAGAACGCCGGGTGGAGCTGCGCCCAGTGCCGGGGCGCTGCAGGTGCGGTGCGGGTGCAGGTGCCGCGGCTGCAGGCGCACGCGGGGGCTCGACCCGGACGGGCTTCGGCCTCAGATAGCCGACTGCTGTTGTTCCCAGAAGTCCGGGACACAGCGGCCGGTTGCTGCCCGTCTTGGGAGAGCGGCCAGTGCACAGGGCAGAAGCCCAGGAACCAGGGCCTCACCCCAGACCAGACGCCGGCTGTTGCAGGGGACTGCCAGGTGACCCTCATAAGTGAAACAAAATCGCAGAAATTGTCAAAACTGCAGGATTCTGTGGTTCATCTAGTTACACATGCGTTTTGAAAATCGTAAGTCATTGAGAAAGGTTGACATCAGTAAAGGAGGACTGGGATTCGGACAGCAGTTTGCAAAACAAATGCTTTGAAAATGCCTACCAAATTATTAAGTCGGAGATATGGGGGAATGAGAGAACAGATGTAAGTGAGCTTTTAGTAAAACTCTTGGTGAACTTTCCTAAACGCAGAAGGAATCAATAAGTTGGAAAAGACTAGAGCAATGAAAGCCCAGACCTCAGATCTGTCTCCAGTTGGATGCAGAGAGCTTAACACCGCCCAGACCTCGGGCCAACCCCTTGAGGGCCCCAGAGTCAGTCCCATCCCTCATTCAGAACCCCTTAGGCCCTCCCATTGCAATGCAGAAGAAGCTTCGCTTATCTCCTAGAGCCCTGCACTGGGACCGCTGCTGTCCTTCCTACTTGACACCAGGTCTTTGCAGGTGATGTTTGCTACTCCCTTGCTCTTCCTGTGGACAGTGCTTTACCTCTGTCGCTGGAGTGAGAGTGCCTCCCTCTTCAGCCCTGGCCCCCAGGAGTCTGCTCCCCACTCCTGTGTATTGAGGTGGGAAGCAGCTTCATAGAGATGTAGAAGGGAGGTACCTTCTCAATGCCTGTCCTGTGACTGCCTCTGGGTCGGGGACTGGTATCCCTTGAGCTACCCTCACCCCCTGCACTCTCTTTTGGCCCAAGCTTTGCTCATTGTCTAAAGACCTAAGTGACCATCAAGGGACTGCTGGCCAGCAAGAGGGCAAGGACACTTGTCCCTGCTCCAGCTGTCTCCATGCCCAGCTGGAACTGACACTTAGGGAAGGGCCATCCATCCTAACTGCCCTGCTCAGCTGTCATCTCCTGGCAAAACTGTCCCCATACTAGGGTTTTGCCACCTGGGAGGACAAGGTGAGAGGACCCCCCCACCCCGCCCTGCCCTTTTCAACAAGCAATATGTGAGTGCCAAGGAGCGTCCAGGTATCACAGTTCTGCCTTCCACCTAAGCAAATGGGGTTTGCTAATGGCAGAGGACTCCAATGCCCACAAAAGAAGGCTAGAATGTGTCTTTCCTTTTAGGAGGAGCAAAGACCCTCCCTGCCTGGTCACCAAAGGCCCTGCCTCTGCCAAGGAGTTAAGAATATTTCTGATGCCAGATGGTGATATTTTGCTTATGTGTATGATCCTCTGTCTTTACTTTAAATACTCTGAAATGTTGTTCAGATAATTCCATAATTTAAAAAAAAAATTAGTTGTATATGAACACAATATCAGTTTATTTTGTTTTGTTTATTTTTGTGTGGTACTGATGACCAGTGCCTCACATGTGCTTGCACTCTACCACTGAGCTACAGCCGCAGCCCTAATTAATTCCACAATTTATAAAACAATAGTGTGAAAATGGAATAATGCTTGAGAGTCCTACCGCTGGCACTCACCTATAATACTAGTAGCTTGGGAACTGAGGCAGGAGGATCACAACTTCAAGGCCAGTCTGGGCAATTCAGTGACACCCTGTCTTCTATTAAGAAATTTTTTAAATGCCAGAGATTTGGCTCAGTGGTTAAGTGCCCCTTGATTCAACCCCTAGTACTAAAAAAAAAGAAAGAAAAGAAATCCTATTCACGGTCACACACCCTTTCTCCCCGTCTCGGAGCTCAGTGGTTCCTGAGGGGGCTCACTCCTGGCTTCCGGGGCAATGACAGTGAGTTGGATCACTCCCTGTACACCTTCTCTCCTCGTCCTCTCTCTCACCTGCCCTCACCAGACACAGGTGCCCCAGAATCTGCTGAGTGCTCTGAGGCTGCTGCCAGGAGGAAGTTCTGCAGATGCCAGGAGAGCTGCGGAATGTGGGCCCAGCCAGTGAGGTGCCAAGGAACATGTGGGACCTGATGGGGAGGGTAACCCTCCAGCTGCCTCAGGGAAGAACATTCCAGAAAACTGAACAGGAAATTCAAAGCCCAGACAAGTTGCAGAGGAGAAAAGGCCACAGCTAGAGGCTAATGACCACTGGACTTACAGGGTCAGAGGCTGCAAGAAGCGTGGTCATTGGGTGCAGAGGGTGGGTCGCTGTTAGGCCTTCTTGCCAGCGGCATGTGGCAAATGGGTGTGGACAGGTGCTGTGGCAGATGGCCAGCAGCAGCTGGAAAGGCCAGCCACAGGCAACAGAAGGCAGGGCCCAGAGACTGGCCGCTGGGCTGAGGAGGACAACAGTGCCAGGGCGTCCCTTACCAGCCTCTACAGTTGCAGCTGGGCTGTGACCGGTGGGATAAGCTGTGGATTTCTCAGGAGAGACTCCATGGCTCTGACGTGGACCTTATGAGTTGGAGCATGTGGGCGGCCATGTGTGCAGTCAACTTCATGCAGGGCACTAGGCCATGGGCTCCCCAGAGCCGGCAGCCCCAGCCCAAAAGCCAAAGTCTCTCTCTAGGATTCATTTTGTTTCAAAATGCAGCTGGAGTGGCGTTCCAAGGCATTACTCAGGCCCAGCTGAGAATGAGCGCGACAGAGTGGGCCGGAGACGCGTCTCCTGACATCACCGCGGCCCCTGCAGGCCTTGGTAGTGCTTTTGTCATGGCTCCAGCTTGGCCCTGGCCATACCCCTGCTGCCAGTTCTTCCCTGTTCCTGAGGCTGCCTTGCTGTGCTGTGGTTGTGTCCACTGCACTCTATCTGCTGCCCAGTGTGGTGGCTAAAGCAGCAAGACCTGCCCTCTGAAGAGGGCCTGGCCTCTGCACGCACAGCCTTGGCCTGTCTCCTCTCCCCGCGCCCTCCAGGCCTTCCCACCTGCCCAAGTTACTGTCATCAGCCCCCTGGAGTTGAGGTGTGTGTCTCAGATCCTGAGGAGCCTGCAGTCCTGTCTCCTTGTCAAGTGGGCAGGCTGATTTTTTTTGGGGGGGGTGGGGGAGGGACAGTCTACAAAGAACCATTAGCGCTTTGGATGAGTGAATGCTACTTCACGCGATCCAATGCCAACGGACTTTAATTCAACTTAATTATTTGTGAGAATCCCCTTTAGAAGAAAATATCACAAGTTCTTTGACATGAAACAGGAACCAGGATATGACTGGTGTCCACTGGGTCCTCTTGCTGTTGACCCTTACTGGCCCCGCACAGTCCTGACTCCTGGCTCCAACAGTGAAGGCAGCCTTAGGTCTCCAGGGCCACTGGCATGCAGCCAGAGGTCTGAACCACACCAGTGCTTCAGAGTCCAGTGTCAAGATGCTGAGAAGGGAAGGTACACGTGAACTGGTCAGTCTGCCATGTGGATGCAAACGGAAAGCGGCGGGATGATGCCTGACCACAGGGTAGGCTGGGAGCAAAAGCAGGTGAAGACCTGGATACTTTTTAACATTTACAACTTTTATTTATTTAAACTGACAAATAGAAATAGTATATATTTAGCATGTGTAACATGTGGCTTGAAAATATGCACACAGTGTGAACTGGCTAAATCCAACTAGTTCGGGTACCTGCCTCGTTTCTCGGTGAGAGCTCTTGAAATCAGCTCTCTTGGCAATTTTCAAGAATACAATACATTGTATTCAGGTGTTGTGGCATAGGTTTTTGAACTTATTCCTCCTAATTGAAATTTTGTATCTTTTGGCTGATGTGTCCCCCTACCCCGGCCCCAGTCCCTGGTTACTACCTTACCACTCCACTTCTCTGGGATCGAGATTGTTGCAGTCCACACATACGCCAGGGCACATGGCACTTGTCATCCTGTGTCTGCGCGTTTCATACCCTGCTATGGCCCTGAAACTCTCTTGGAGTTTGCTTTCCTCCTGAGGCACAGAGGGTGGGAACAACCTGACCCTGGCGCTTGGGGGTGGGGACCCGTGAGAGGAGGTTAAAATCAGATGAGACCATCAGGGTGGAGCCCCCATGGCCTTGTGAGAAGGGGGAGGGGCCAGGAGACGTACACCCACTCCATGAATCCCATGTGGCACCTGAGCCACCACGGACTCTGTCAGCAAGAAGCCATCACCACTAGAACAGTGAGCCAAAATT